ATTTAGATAACCCTTTTGCTGATTTTTAAAGTGTTCCATAAACAGGACAAGTGAAATATCATGTAAAGCAACCATAACACATGAAAAGACCTCGGCTTACAATTTAGGATTAAAACTCTACTACTATCTATCTACACAATATACATAGACATAAAATGTAAAACTTAAATATCTTAGAAACAGTAGCCAGTTGTTTTAATTGTCATATTTGAATTCAGCACATCAAAATACATAATAAATAGCACATTTTATCTCTGAAGCAGACGACTTCTCAAAAACTGTAGACCAGTGTAATCAAGTAGAGACACACAGGCCACCAGGCAATTCACTAAGAAAAACAATACTAGTTGTTTAAACTTTTCACTGCTAAGTAACTTTCACTTACTGCTCAAATAGAATTTCAGGATTTCCCTTTTCTTCACCCTCAGAGAGGGTTTAAAATATTACATCTATGAAAGGTTGTAACATAGGATTTACCCTTTCAGATTGGGTGCACTAAATTCAATATCCAGCCTCTGACAGAGAACAGGTTTAATGGGGGAGGAGGGGAGGGAAGAGGGGAAAAAAAAGGGTTTAGCGCTTACTGAAACTGAAATGTTTGTTGAAACATGTTTTCAGTTGTTACAGTGTATGCCAGAGGTAGTCTATTTTTTGTCATGGTCCAGGTCTGGCTCTGAAGAAAACAATAAAAGAATAATAAGTAAAAGATTTCAGGGTCAGTTCAAAAGTATCTTGAGGTCTGGATTTGAGCCACAGTCCACCTACTGACTACCCTAGTGTATCTTTTCCCAAAGAAAACTGCCCAAATTGCTGCCTGCAGGAGTTAATGATTTACTCTGCTGCTGCAGTTTTATTATTAGGGTTGTTCCATGATTCTAGAGTTCTGCCTGGTACACAGAGATCTTAAGCCAGCAGATTAGTTTTTAAAAGAACTAGAGTTTATGTAACCGTTTTGTTTAGCTTGGATTCACATTGTCCATGCAGCTGGGGTTTCCCCCTAGTAGTTTTATGCTTTTTTGGGGAAGGGAGAGGAAGGGGGTTAGCCACCAGAATCCACCTCAATTGAAATCTCACATTGTAATCTGTTTCACTACAGTATGAAAGTCCCGTTACAGGTGTCGCTTAAGGGCTCTATGCTATGGACAATGTCACTATTTCCAGGTAGCGTAGCTAACCATTGCCAGAACACTATGGCCTTGCAATGGTTCAGCATGCCATAACCATAAGCCCAGTGTGTGTGCCAACGAAGGCACTGCACACATAATACTTGCCACAACACAACCTGTGCAAGTTGGTGCCTGTCCCATAACTTCTGTACAGCACTCTGGAGCTGCTGGATAATTGACGGTATGTTATTTGGACCTGTTAACATTTGCTTTCCACTATGCAAGAGCTGTGCATGCAGATACTATGGCTTGAGTGTAGCAGGAAATTGCCTGTACCTTCTGCCAGACAGACTCTGGGCCAGGGGCATATTCCCAAGTGGTGTGGTGCTTATTGGTAGAACAATGCTCCAAGGAGGTAAGGAATTTGGTTTGATTTTTGTCTAAATAAGTCAGATGTTTGTCTGTCGTCTTGTACTTCCGGTTGCGGGTTAGAACCTGCAACCCACAGTCACTTCAATGGCTGACTAGGGCCCGCAGCCTAGGGCCCCGTTTTACGGCTGAATTAACAGCTTCTTTAACATTCCCTTCTACATCCAGACAGCAGAGTGGTCCATACCAGATTTGAGAGAAGAGCTCCCCCCACCCCAGTAATAGAATCCCAGGGGCACATCCAGTACAAGACCTTTGTTAGAAGATTGAGGAGACAGAGGAGAGGGATGTGAGAGAACAGCAGTATTTGAATCATGGGATATCAAATAAACAAGATTTATTTTAAGCGGGTGTTTAATGTGCATTTGTTAACTCTCCTGTTTCTCAGGAGAGGAGAACAGCACAGCACCTGGTTAGGTTTGACGTTTTGTGACATGCAAGTTAGAATCAATACAAGTATCAAAGGGGAAGCCGTGTTAGTCTGGATCTGTAAAAGCAGCAAAGAGTCTTGTGGCACCTTATAGATTAACAGACGTATTGGAGCATAAGATTTCGTGAGTGAATACCTACTTCTTCAGATGCATGTAGTGGAAATTTCCAGAGTCAGGTATAAATATGCAAGCAAGAGTGAGTCAGGCTAGAGATAACAAGGTTAGTTCAATCAGGGAGGATGAGGCCCTCTTCTAGCAGTTGAGGTGTGAGATGGATAGCTCAGTGGTTTGAGCATTGGCCTGCTAAACCCAGGGTTGTGAGTTCAATCCTTGAGGGGGCCACTTAAGAATCTGGGGCAAAATTAGTACTTGGTCCTGCTAGTGAAGGCAGGGGGCTGGACTCAATGACCTTTCAAGGTCCCTTCCAGTTCTAGGAGATAGGATATCTCCATTAATTTAATTTAATTTAAACACCAAGGGAGGAGAAACTGCTTTTGTAGTTGGCTAGCCATTCAGTCTTTGTTTAATCCTGAGCTGATGGTGTCAAATTTGCAGATGAACTGAAACTCAGTTTCTCTTTGAAGTCTGGTCCTGAAGTTTTTTTTGTTGCAGGATAGCTACCTTTAAATCTGCTATTGTGTGTCTAAGGAGGTTGAAGTGTTCTCTTACAGGTTTTTGTATATTGCCATTCCTAATACCTGATTTGTGTCCATTTATCCTTTTACGTAGGTGTTCACACCTCAACTACTAGAAGAGGGCCTCATCCTCCCTGATTGAACTAACCTCGTTATCTCTAGCCTGACTCACTCTTGCTTGCATATTTATACCTGCCTCTGGAAATTTCCACTACATGCATCCAAAGAAGTGGGTATTCACCCACGAAAAGCTCATGCTCCTATACGTCTATTAGTCTATAAGGTGCCACAGGACTCTCTGCTGCTTTTACAGAAGCAATACAAACATACATGAAGTTATGAGTCTACCTCTCTCCACCTTTTTGGGGACAGCAGGGAACAGCAATGGGCAGAGCCAAGAGTGGACCCACATCAACTGCCTTCGGACCCAATTAGAACAGGGAGTGGGAGGGAGGGACCAACTGCACCAATGCAGCTGTAAAACCTGTTCCAGTCCACACTGCTGTTACAGTGA